AAGCAAGCTTAACCCTGGACATTTTGCATAAGTCATCTAATACATTTCTTTTTAAATCAAACTAATTTCTGTCAGATTTTCTGTCCTTCTAACAGGATGAGTCCTGGCCAGTTACCAATGTAAGCACCTTAGGTTTTGAAGCCAGAATCATGGCTGATCCTGGGCGTCTCTCCCTCCTATGACTTCATGTGATTTACAAAGCCAACCTCACCATCAGGATAAGCCATGCAGGTCCTATAGGTTGAACACCCTTATCAAAACTGTTTGGGTCCAGAAGTGTTCCAGATTTCAAATATTTTCCGATTTGGGAATATTTGCATATACATAATGAGACATCTCAGGGATAGGACCCAAGGCTAAAAACAAAATTCACTTGTGTTTCATGTATACTTTATATGCAGTCTGATGATAAGTTTATATAAAAATTTTAGTGTACTAAAATTTTTTGACGATGACTAGTCACATGAGATCAGGTGTAGAATTTTCCACTTGAGGCAGTTGGTGCTGAAAAGCTTTGGATTTTAGAGCCTTTCAGATTTTGGATTTTCAAATTAGGGATACTTAACCTGTATCATTATTTCATTTGAAGCCTAATTCCAAAGTATTTTATCAAAAGGTTGTGCTAACCATAACCTGGCATGATTTGGCTATAAGTTTCTTTTCCTAAGAGTAACCTGGTTGAGAAAAAAAAGAGAGAGAGAGAGAGAAAAGAAAAAGAAAGAGAAAAGAAAACTTAAAAACATGAACTTTGCTCACCTAATTCAGGTCATTTCACTTTGGATTCTTGGTGCTGTGACACTGGCAGTTGGCACTGTGCTCTAACACATCATGTTTAAGAGCAAGAAAGTAGTTTGTTTGGGAGAGAAACAGAATTCCTGAGCAAAAGATTAAGGAGGGCTGATTCCATGTGTCTTCCCCCTTGTGACAAATTATGGCTGATTCCTGACCTCAACTTCCTCCGTTTAGAAAATGGATCTGAAAAACAACCCATCCCCTCCCAAGAAGGTTCAATTTTAATTTTATATCATTTTTCCCTATCACCAAGCATTTAAAGAGTTTTCAATTTCTCTCTACCGTGGGCCATGCTACCAAAAAAACAAAAACAAAACTCTCAGTGTATATAACTTTCTAATTTTTCTCATGCATATAAATGTGGATTAGCGTTTCAAAGATGTGATCTTTCTTTCTTTCTTTCTTTCTTTCTTTCTTTCTTTCTTTCTTTCTTTCTTTCCTTCTTCTTTTTTTTTTTTTTGGCACCAGGAATCAAACTGAGGACCTCACGTCTGGCAGACAGGCACTGTGCCACTGAGCTATAACCCCAGCTAAGACATGACTCTTGATCAAGCATATGTTTTTGAGACTCTTGATATAAATTCAAAATTACTCTCCAAAATGTTTTAGCAAGTTAATGCGTTAAAATATAATAATTTCATTACAAGCCCCAGACCAGCATCTAAGTCCACATTTGATGGATGCAGAGTTGCTTACGGGAGGAAATTTGAGAAGTTTGTCCCTGATACTCCCCGTATTCCAGTGCCGAGCCCCCTGCAGCATCGTGCAGCTGCTAAGGTTATGTTTCATTTTCTGTGGGAGCCCAGAGCGAGGCCCTGTCTCTCCCACCAAATTACTGGTTCTTCCAGGGCACAAACAATACTTTCCTTTGACAACTTTCACTGAGGGCCTCTCTCTCTTCACACGTACTTACCAAACAGTTTTTCAGTGAATTGAATTGTTTGCTTACTTTTTATCTTTATGTGTTTTCAATTTATTAGGTTTATGGGCGCAAGCTAGATATAGGTAATGACCATCTTCATCACAGGGAATTTGTACCCCATGCGTTGTGCTTTGTTAAGTGCGCAGCAGAGTAACGTATCTCACAACGAAGTCTCAGGCATTGTCCCTCCTTGTAACACAAAGCGGGCGGCAATTCCTCCAGAAGGGATTCGGGAAGCAGCCTCGCCTCCCTTTCAAACTCTAATCTAACTGAAAATATAATATAAGCCAAGTTCTTGAGTGCTTGCAATGCCAGACAAATTCACTTAATCCTCAACAAAGCCCTGAGGTGGCAATTTTGGGTTGAAGGGTTCCCCACGTTGTTGTCAAACCCATGATCATCCTGCCTCAGCCTTCCACATAGTTGGGATTACAGATCCATGCCACCTCTCCCAGCTGGGTCAGTATTCTTAATATCATCAGTCCTCTTTCACAGATGGAGAAATTGTGGCGTGGTGGGGTTAAGTAATTCTCCCTGAAGTGGGCATTGCGATGTGCTACCAGGAGGTCACCTCAGGACGGAAAGATTTATCCTCAAAGCTGCAGGGAAAGCTATTGACAGAGAGCACTAATGTTAGAGGGAAGCCGACATCCTCTGCCTCCTTGACCTGAGGGTTGAGAGGCCAGGCCCCCTCACTCCAACTCCAAACGCCCTGAAGGTCGCCACGCCCTGCAGAGCCCCTCTGAGGTTGCTGCTACTCCATCCAATTGCACTTCTCTCTCTTCTCTTCCAGAAGGGTCGAGTCTGGAAGCGCTCCAAAGCACCTGCAGGGCATGGCAGAACTGCAGGACCTGACCCTCCCTGACCTCAGCAAGCTTGAGCCCCTGCATTTCTTACTAGCTCTCTGGGTGATTTTGTTCCACAGCAAAGCTTGGAACAAAACAAGGGAAGTGTGGTCTGATCCTCAGATCACATCTCAGGGACCTCTCTTCTCCTCAGTCTCTTTTTGTCTATTCCTGTGTGTCACATCTGTGGTCCCTCCTCCACTGCATTGCATGCTCAAGGCCTCCAGAAACTCTGAAGCTGCATCCTTTCCAGCTTATGTTTCAGAGGGGGACAAAGCACTCCTGGGCCTCCGCACTGCAGGGCTCCGGGGAAAGAGTGTCATTGGCCCCTCCTGAGCCGCACACTTACCTCAACTTGCACACACCTGCTTATCATTACAGCTGGGGGATGGGTGGGGGCTGTGATTTTTCCAGACCTGAGTCACAGCCCTTTTCAACAGCCACTGGAGGAAGGGAAATGATGTGATCAGAAGTGTTCTAGAACTCCATGGCATGGAGGGGGCAGAGGTCACAGTGGAAGGAAGGCTGTGTCCTGCTGCGAGACAGAAGGGATCCGGCCACAGTGCTCCTCAAAAATAAAGACATAAGCACCACTTACTAGTACTTAGTTTATGCCAGGAGCTTCACATAGGTTACGTGCACCACAGAATTGCACTGAAAACACTTCGGAGCATGAATAGCACAGGCCATCCAATCAGAATAGAGCACATCCTGGTGTCCATAAAGTACAGACTTTAGCCCATTATTTCTTGGGCCATGCATGCAGAATTCAGGGGATCAGGAAGGAGGGCCGATGTAGGAAACAGACACCACCCAAACCTGGAGAGGCAGCTGCATACAGTCGAAACAAATGTGCTTTACCATCCTAACAGCTGCTATGTTCTTTTGGGTGAGCGCCTGTGGAATACTTTAGGCCTGAGCATTACCCTAATAACCACACTTCTAGAGCACAGATATACCCTGCAGGTTTGCTGTCCTGTGCTAGAGTTCCATAATGGCTCTTTCCGGAGCATCAGCAGTACTCCAAGATTTGGAAAGGGAAATGTTATTTACACGTTAAAACAAATCTGACCACATTGCAGAAGAGAACATATGTAGAACAGACATAAATTTTTAGGACATGCATGAGATGTCAAGAAAGTGAAATTCCTGACACGAGGGGTCTTGTAGCAAAGACTGAAAATCCTGATCAGAGAGATAGCAGTGTGACACTTGTGTCTCCGTCATATAGAAGGGTTCCGGAGGGCTGAAGACCTTGTCTCGGGGTGCATGCTTTCAAGGGGGCCAAGGATTCACGCCACCTTACTGGCCACACTGCCTTCTTTAATGGCAGCTGTTGACTCATGTGACTTTCAATATTTCTGCTCGCCAGGCATGCGGTGCATACCTGTAGTCCCAGCACACTGGGATGCTAACAGAGGAGGAGTGAATGTTCAAGCCCCACCCCTCCAGTGACTTAGCAACTTAGCAAAACCCTATCTTAAAAAAAAAAAAAACCTGGGGATGTAGCTCGGTGTAAAATTCTGGGTACAATCATCTCCAGTACTGCAAAATGAAAAGATAAATGAATTTTATCTTAGCCAGAAATAAAAACTAGTTAATGGTAGTTATCTTAAGAAAAGGGATGAGCTCAGTAGGACTTTAAATGAAGAAGAAAGTAGGTCGTGCAGTTCTGCAATGGAAAGAGCAATTGTTCCTCAAAGTTAGAGGAGGCTTCTTCAGGGACAGACTGTCGTGCGCCTTTAGGGTTACAGAACCCCAGCCAAGGAACCCACAGACCAAAACCACATTTATCACATGGTGAAATTTTCGGAACCAGTTCCCTAAGAAACCATGGCACAATCTTTGCAGTTGTAATTCAACTTGTGGGTCCAAAGTTTGAAGTTGCATGATGATTGCAAAAATATTTGTAACGTTGTCAAACTACCCGGGAATAGAAGGGCTAAGACTATTCTGATGACTGACTGATCGCCTGTAGTGACCCTACGTGCAGATCCCCTATGCAGATCGTAAGGGACAAGGGGATCATGACGCTTCAGTTATTTATAGCATCTAATTCTATCCACGGGCACTCTGTAAACACTTCTTGAATGGGTGGATAGCTAAGGGAATAAGCGTTGTTTCTCTTTTTAAGAGACGTGTTCCTCAGGAAATCTTTTTGCCTAACACTGAGGCTCCAGGAAGTTATGCGTGCACACCAAGCAGCTGCAGGCATTGCAGGTCACAGTGACACCTGTCCCTAGAAGAGAATGCAAGGTTGAGAAACATGTGCGTCTTCGACTATTTGGGCTGCTATAACAAAATATTGTAGACTAGTTCTTAAACAGCCCAAATTTCTGGTCCACAGTTCTGGTCAGTCCAGGATCAAAGACAGCTGAGTCATTATCTGGTGAGGGCCCTACTTCCTGCCACGTAAACAGAACTTAATCAGCTTAGTCTTCACATGGCAGAAGGGGTGAATGAGTTCCCATGGACCGCTTTCCCCATAGGCACAGCTGCGCAGAAAGGTGAGTACAGGGGCGCAGTGAGTGCATCCCTACTTCCTCCTGGGTTCCCCTAAAGTCTAGGCAGGGAGGTTAGGAAGTGGGAAAGCAGCAGAGGCTGAGCAGAAGCCTCCAGTTTCCCCAGGATGAGCAAGTTCCTGGAGCTTCCACAAGGATCCTGGAGATTATATCTGTTCTGGATTCCACACCCGGTCAACTGTTCTTTCCAAGCTTATTCTAAGCCATGGTATTTGTGGAAGCTAAAATTACGTCTGTGAGGGAAAGCCACGGCCCCAGGCAATGACACCCAAGAACTCTTTCGGTTTCCTGCAGAACCTTCCATAATAAGTAGAAACTTGGTGGTGAATTTTTTTTTTTTTTTAAATAAGCCTAAATTGTTCTAGCCCTCACTGATTCCAGGTCCAGCACCCAAGTGCTTTTTCTAAAGCTGAATTGTAAAATTTATAAATTGCTCAAATGAACTTAACATATGGTCTAAATTTGTCCTGAGAAGAGTGGTGACCGGGGGTTGTTCGTTGTCCGCTGAAGAGCTGGAGGGGCTGGGCAGGGAGACAGTGACCTGTTGTCCAGCCGTCTTTCGCACCCCGGACACACAGGTCCTTGCCAAGCATGTGTCCTAAAGGAACTTCTCAGGCAACTGTTTTTTGTTGGGGTTTTTTTGTACTGTGGATCAAACTGAGGACCTTGCACTTGCCAAGCAGGCGCTGTGCCACTGAGCATGTCCCGGCTCAAGGCAGTATTATCTTTAATGCAGTTGTGCCAGCTGTTTAAATTGCAGTGATATCATGTAACTCAGTGAGCTGCAGGCATTTCAGGAAGCTCTGTGCTCAAAACATCTGGTGAAACTTCACAGAGAATGGAGGGCTTCCCGGGGTCGATACGGAGCGCTCCGCTTTGAGACTGTCACCAATAAAGAAAAAATAATGTTCTTCCCCCAATCCTTGTTAAGCACATTTTAGAAAGGCGATATCCTCGCATGGAAAATGAGCATCTAAGACCCACACCACCCTTGGCATAATTATGAGAACCTGGTCGAATGCATACTTCCCTGAGCTTCCCAGTTCCTCCTTAACACAAGGAGCCCACATTAGCTCTGCCGCTCACAAGGTCCTGCCAGATCAAGTAAGGGAGGAAGTATGAGCATAACAGAAGGTCCAACACACTGGTTATTTGGAAAGAGATCGTTATAAAAGTCAGTATTTACCCACCGGCTTCCTTCAGGTATGTGTGTGTAAATATAAGAACTAACATGACAAGTAGAATTCTGTCACCCTGCACACAGTGATCACCCAGCAAAGATTTATTGTTTGTGGGCTAAGCTCACCATACAGACGACTCCAAATCTGCGTGGGATACCTAGGAAAACGCAGCAAGGGGAGGAAGAGAAGTTTGGGGGAGTCGGGTGGGCAGGCACACGGAAGGGTGGGCGGCAAAAGCAGAAGTGAGCTCCAGATTATTGTGCCTTGTCTTCATTCCTTTTCTGCCCATAAACAGTCACCAGTTCTTTTTTTTTTTTTTTTTCTTTTTTTGATACGAGCCTAATAGAACTACCTCTAGACCATTAAGTTTGGGCTAACTCACGCACACAGATATGCAGACATCTATAATCACACACTCACGTACATACATACACAAACACACACGCACACAACTGACCAAAAGTGAACAAAACAACAACCAATCATAACTCTGGGAAAAATCTTGCCAAGCCTTTCCAGTTGTCTCATTAAAGCCTCTGACCTACGTAACAGGAAGCATACCGTTTAATTTACTGACTCTTTCGGGAATCTCCAGAAAGGGGAAGGGAAGCTACTGGGAATTCTAATGCAAATGTAAGTAACGCTCAAGGCTTCTTTGCAGGAACTTACAAGTGGACTTTCCATGCTCCAGACCTTGCTCCAGCACCTCCCCACCCTCCCCACCCACACCTTCCTGCTGGCTTGATTCTTCCCGCAGCCACTAACATGGTCCAGACATTCAAATTCATCAGCCCTGGGACCGTGCTCTGTTGGCCTTCATATTAGAGGCAACTAAGTTAGGTAGAAATACTCTAGGCAGTCAGATAGGGTGAGACCCTCCAGGGAGTCAGTGCAGAAGATAAGAACACATCACCGCTGTGCCCAGGGGCGCATTCATTGCAGGCCCCCTGCCTCAAGATAGAGATGGAATGACCAGGCCTGCACGCCTCCCTGAGGGACAAACAATGCACTATAATCGATATTACTGGTCCAATAAAGTCTAGATCGCATCAGTCACCGGGTGGGTGACCAGGGCCATCTGACTCATCTCTTCCTAAAAAGTCCTTGTTCTTTCCATGTACACTTGCTACGTGACTTGCTTCCCCACTGGATCAATATTACCTAAGCAGCTATGCTTGTCATCTTATTGATCATAGTTTTGACCCATGTTGTACCCATCTCATGATTTTGCCATATAAAACTTCTTTTGAGAAGTGGGCTTATTGGCAACCCCCCTCAGGCTCCTATCTCTACCAATAAAATTTTCCTACTCTTGACCTCCACTGTTCCTTAGAATTCATTCTTTGGTTTGGGGAACACAAACTCCGTAGAGCTGACATCCAGCAGGTAGGAGTTGTACTATTTCTCCTCTATCACTTGGAGGACCTACATCATTAACATGTCTACTATGCTGAGGGAGAAAAGAGACACTGACTGGGGCTTTAATCTAGAAAATGAAAGGAGGGTTTTATTGTAATCTTATGTCAAGCATTCCTTTACTTCGTGGAAAATGCCATTCATTTGACTAAACACCAGTTTGGTGTCTATGTGCTTGTGCACATGTCCCTGGGCTAGCGTGAGAGAGACAGGATGGACCAACCTATGCTCCTTGTCCTGCAAGAGCTCCTGGAGAAAGACACCAACCCTCAGAGCATCAGAGGTGCTGGGGTGAAGAGTAAGGCACTCAGGAGTACTGAGGAGGGACACCTCCTACTCGGAATGTGATGAGAATTATATGCAAGGAGGACTTCTCAGGAGACCTGGCACATGGCTGAGAGGTGGAGGTAGAGGCATCCCTGATAGGGAACTGCATAAAAAATAAGACCTCTGGCCATATTTCAGTTGTGATTCCTTCTTGTATGTCAGATGCATGTACCCAGTATCTCCCATGTACCCCACCCTCTCCCCTACATCAGCAGGTCCCCTTGGTTGCTGTCTTCCCATTGGCTCAGTCAGTGGGAATCGCTAGGGAGGGAGACCAAGCTCAAGGTGCTCTCTCGATGGTGCTTGACTGTCCTGAAGGCTAAGGCCGTGTGTGTCAAAGCAGCCTTCTTTAGGAGAGACCCTGTTCCCCGATCTCTTATTTCTGCTCCCACCCCTCATCTCTGTGTGCCCGGGAGTGGTAGCAGCTCTTCCGCTGTTACTAGGATCCCTTGCGTTCTTCCCCCCACACTCCACAAACAGCCCCCTCATTAAGCTTTCCTTGAATTATTCAATTTGAGAGTCATCTGTTTCCTTAGCTGATACAGTAAATAGCAAACACACCAGGCAGACCAGGACGCAGTGGCCACACACAGATGTTAGTGGTGGTGGTGAGGGTGCCTGATCTGTTCATGCCCTGGTGAGCAGATTATTATTGGTGGCCAGCTGCGTGCAAAACACAGTGGAGAAGTAAAACATACTTTCTGGGTTTTAAAACACAACATCCTTGTTAGGATCAGATGCTATTTTAATTTGAGGTTCACAAGGTTAAAAGAATAGGAAAGTGAGGAAGGCAGAATCCGGACCATTGGAATTTCTATTCACCTGGCTCAGTCTGCCACGGTCCATGTTTCTGCAAGAGCAGATAGAGAAAGCAGAGTTAGGCGGCGGCGGGGGAAGCTCCCTCACCTGCTGAAGGCTGACTCTGCTGCTCTGCGATCAAAGCTTCTCTAACAACGAAGACTCCTGACCAGGCACTGAGCTGAAAGCTTTATGCTGAATATCAGATGTGTTCTTCGTGATGACTTCTATGAAGCAGGCATTACCTTCCTCATTGTGCGGGAGAGAAAACAGGCTTGAAAGGGTCAATAATGAGAAGTAGGCAGCACCTGGGTGTGAGCAAGAGTCCGCACCTACTGCTCATGCGCTGGGCCACTTCACCGCGCCGTCCGGCCAGGAACAGGCAATCCATGCCACGGCCAGAGGGTGTTACTGATCCCTTGGAGGCAAAGGGCTGTCCTGCAATTTGAATTGATCCTTATTGTTATATCCATGCAGCCAGAAACTGGGAAGCAATTCTGGGAGTCCCTTTCCACGGGGTGACTAAGACGTCAGCTACGATTTGCCCTAGATTTGGGAAGGAAGGAGGCGGGCACGCATAGCAAGGTGCACACCGGTGTGCACCCCGGCTGAGCCGCCGTGGGCTCTGGGCTCCCTTGGACCCGTCTGATCGCTGCTGCTTTGAGGAGGAAGCTGAGGCTGGGCACCCACGGGAGGCAGCAGAAGGGTCACATTCAAAACTCAAGGCGGCTGCACTTCTGATTACCCACACTGGGGCGGGGGCGGGCAAATTCACATCAGCTTCCTTTGAGCAGGCAGGGAGCCCCTGCACTACACAGGACAGTCGTTATGAGTGGCAAGGAACACAAATGGCTGTAAATTTAAAGTACCCCATAAATTCTGTAGAATTCAAATTTAAGACCCGCTGATACCCTCATTAAAAAAAGAAAAACTACCTTACTTTCCTCCTATGTCAAAAGTATCCATGTGTACTGGTTTCTGGCTGTCCTCTCCCCTCGCTCGCAAAAGTGTCAGTTTGGATGATAAATCCTCAGCCTATCCACGCTGCATGAACTGCCAACAAAGAGAGATACGGCAGCAAGCCTGAGTTTCCGATAGCCACGTCTGCTCTTGGAATGAACGCTATCTTGCTGCGTGAGTCTGTTTTTCAATTAACCTCTCTGATCTTTTATGTGCCGAGTGAGAGTAGAATATGTAGCCAATGACATTTATGAACTATAAAAGACACAATAGTCCACAGGGCTATAGATCTTAGAGCTAGAA